CCCCCGCCCATTCCCTGGGCCCACCCATTCCCCTAGACACCCCTTCCATTCTCCTGGCCCCACCCGTTTCCCTCTAGCCCCACCCATTCCCTAGCCCCACCTGTTTTCAAAGAGGATTAAACCCCCCCCCTTCCTCTGGGCCCGCCCTTTTCTCTTTAGTCCTGCCCATTCCCCTAGAGACCTCTCCCGTTCTCCTGGCCCCACCCGTTTCCCTTTAGCCCCGCCCATTTCTACGGAGACCTCTCCCATTTCCTGGCCCCGCCCACTTCCGTTTAGCCGCGCCCATTCCCACCTCCCTCTGCCTGCCCCCGGGAGATGTCACGTGGAGGAGGAGGAAAGAAGGCGATCACGTGTGTCAGGGGCTCCTCGCCGGTATGTCGCGTGTTGTAGGGAAGTGTCACGTGGCTGGGGAGGCGGTCACGTGCCTCAGAGGGGCTTCCCGCGAGGGCATGTCACGTGCTGTAGGGAAGCGTGCGTACAAAAAACTAGGAATTCTTGCCATAGTGATAGCGTCACGTTCTGCCCGGGCGGCGCCTGTGCAGTGAGGCTCCCACCAGACAGTGTCACGTGTAGCGGCGCTCCGACGGCGCCTGCGCACTGCAGCTTCCGAAGCTCCTGCCGGGGAACGTCACGTGGTGTTCGTCCGGCGCCTGCGCGTTGCCGCTTCCGGCCGCCATTTTGCCCGGCTCGGCGCGGTGAGCGGGCGGGGGAGGGGTAGCGAGCGTGAGGCGGTGGCGGCCATTTTATCTCGGGCGCCGGAGCGGGCGGAGGGGAGCCGCCTGCAAATACCCACCCACCCCGCCCTGCTCAGCCCATCCCAACTCCCTGCCCCAGCGCGGCCCGGAGGCCTGGCTACCGGCTCCTTCGGTGAGGGCGGCGGGGCGCCGCGCGGGTGGACTGAGGAGGCTGCCATTGGCCTGCGGCGCGGGCTGTCGGGGGCGGCGGGGCGCAGTGTGCAGCCCTGGAGGAGCCGGGCTGGGTCGTGCGCCCGTTCCCGCCATGGTGGGCTGGGCCCGAGCGCCTGGAGGGGGAGAAGTTGGCTCCGCGGGAAGCCGAGCCTGCAAATTATCATCGACCGCAGCCGGCTTCCCTGCGCAGAGCAGGGGCCGGACGGCTGGCTTTGCAAGCCCTGAACTTGTGTGAGTGCATAAATGGTATGACCCTCGTCGGGGCAGCCGAGTGGGTTTAGGAGCTTCCTGGCAGGTGCCGTCCACCTCGGACCTGGTAGACTGTAATCCCCAAGCTGCTTACATCTTCCCAATGTGCCACTGTGAAAGCTGACCTCAGGTCAGGTCGCAGCTGCTTTGGGAGATGGGTCATCTCTGAGCAGAGGAAATGCGGCACCGAGTTCCCTGAACACACGCCTGACACTAGGCACGTTGGGCTCCTTTGGTCCTGTAAAAGACTAAGGAGCGGTACCTGGATGCAGCTGTCCATCCAGAAACCGCCACGTGCCCATGGGGTTCGGTGGTTAGTCAGGCGTGTGGGCATGATCTTGGCTGGTGCTGAAACGTGATGCTAATCGGATGCATAGTAAGTCTCTTCATACGTTACCGGGAATAAGGCCGCGTGTTGAGAGAGGAGGTGATGCGCATTTCCAGCACTGTTTTGTCACATCCTCGTGCCAACGCTTCTTGGGCTCATGGCTCTCTCCGCAAAAGGGGCTGTGGCCGTGCGGTGGGGTATGTAGTGAAACAAGCATGTGGTCTTGTGTCTTGCCGCTAAATCTGCCTCTTGTTGCTTTCCAGATTCTCTCACCCCGAAGATGGCTGCGCAGTCGGCGCCGAAGGTTGTGCTAAAGAGCACCACCAAGATGTCTCTGAACGAGCGGTGAGGAAGCCAACAGCAACTTCAGCTCATAAGAAATTTGTACTTAATTTGTCACTGTGTCCAGTGTCAAAAACCAGCGTGGTTTCTGCCCTGTTTTAACCTAACTAAAACCAAGTAATGGCTATGCGCCTCTGTCTTAAGTCTCAACACATGTGGTACACAAGGTTAAAAGGGCAGTTATTTCAGAGGCTTGTGTCAGTAACTGTTAATAATTTGAGACATAACTATGGTGGGCTGTGTTGTACAAAGAAACCTCGCACACTCCCTTTTTCTTCCACATGTTTTTACATTATATAGTTGACGCTGCAGCATGGTAGCATGTTACCGGAGCTGCAGGAGGCTTGCTGCTTTGTCCGAGGCTGACGCGTGTGTTGTCACCTGTAAGAGGCATGCAGCAGGCCACAAAACCAGCCCAAAGGCCCTTTAACAAAGTTCTTGGACCTTGTAAGAGGCAAACGCTTCGCTTCATCTCCATCTCTCTCATTTCTTGGCTCTGCTTTCTTATTTCCTCTGTTCAATACTCTGCTGCTCCCTTGCGCGCTCTCTCTGTCTGTCTGTCTGTCTGTCTGTCTCTCTCTCTCTCTCTCTCTCTCTCTCTCTGCCATAAAGCTTTCGCCAATATAATATGAACTAACAGCAAAGCTCCCAATCACATTTCACTCCCTTACTAAGTGTTAATATCATTAAGCCAAGGAGAAATGAAGTCATTTTTATGCAGCTCCTGTTCTAGCGAGCACTGCGTGAGACATAATCTGGACCAGTGCTTGAGGCGTACTCTAGGGTTGGCTAGCCAGCAAGTTCTCACTATATCTGCCTGCCTGTGGTGGCTGGGCTAGTCCATATCCATAATTCTGTAAAGTTTTAACTTCATCAGCTTGTAGAGCTCTCTGAACACCATAGAAACCTGACCTTGTATTGATAAGGAAGCTTACTTCCTGGCAGTGTGTACCCTTCCATATAATTTTTAAAGGTGGAAGACCCTTACTATGCCAAAGAATATCCTGGATGCAAAAGCAATCCTACTATAAACTAATATATTCAGATAGCAGCATCTGACATCTTTGAAAGCGTCCCTGAGGTTTGCTTTTCTGGTGTCAAGGTGACCACCAACTCTACCAGAGACGTCCAGTTAAACAAGTCAGTTTTCTCCCGTTCTTCCTCCCTCCTCCCCCAAACCAGTTGTCTTGGCTTTGCAGTCTGATTTTAGTGGGCTTTGCTGTTTCTTTGTAACGTCTTCTCCCATCTGTCATGGTCATCACTGCTTGTTGCTTGTTTTTTTCATACCTTCCACCTTTTAAAAGCAGTAACTTTATCACTTTTAAATTAATGTGCTGCACTTTATCCATATCTAAGTTTCCAATTCTTGCACGTTTATGGAAAACAAGGATACGTAACTCGCATATGACGATCTGAGTGTACCACTTCTTACTTAAGGTCATGGGATCTGGCGATCCGGTCTTGAGAGCCATGAAATGCCAATAATTGTTTTTATTAAAACTTTATTTAAACACCCATTTTGTTCGACCTTGAAGCTTTACTAATATGCTGAAGAACAAACAGCCGATGCCGGTGAATATTCGGGCAACCATGCAGCAGCAGCAGCAGCTAGCCAGTGCCAGAAACAGAAGACTGGCCCAGCAGATGGAGAATAGACCTTCTGTCCAAGCTGCCTTGAAACTTAAACAGGTGAGAGAGGGGGTCATATTCCACTGCAGAGAGTTGGTGATGCCTATCAGCGGCTGGTGACTTTTCAGGATGTGATGGATTTCAAAAGGTGTTCCTGAAAATGAGAACTGAGAATTTTGGGGGGACACGTGGAGAAGTTAGAACCTCCTACTGCCACTGAAGAGCAGTAATGTTTCCACAGCTTGTCACTGGCTAATACCCCTGAGTGAAGCTGGCCTGCCTGTCATGCCTTACCTTGCTTATTGTTTAAATCTCCCCCTTGCTGTCTTTTTCTCTTTTCCCAGATGAGAGGGGGCTACTGCTGGGTTTTACCTGCTTTCACTCCCTGCCCTCCCACAGCAGAAACATTCTTACACTGGTCTCTGGATCTGCTGAACCCTTCATTCCTTAAACTACATGTTCTTGTACTGCAGGGTGTGGCTTCCAGTTCTGGGTTACCTGCTTGATGCTAAGTATCTGCCTTTTGTTTTCCTCAGTAGGTCCTGTTGCCAGCAGTTGGCTGGGTACGTTTTGCGGTGTTTGTTGCTCAGTAGACATGCCGGAGTAACAGAGTGTCTGTTCTAGTTCCCGAAATTAAGCACATTTGACCTGGTTAACCCAAAAAGTCACTTAAAATGTACCTTTCCACTGCTTTGTTTTAAAGCATGGGGTTTATGAGATGTGAAGCCTTGCTAGGGTAGCAGTAAGTACACAGTGCACAGAAAGAAATTTAGCAGCACTGGTAACATAGCTCGTTTGAGATGGGCAAGAAACTATGTTAGTTAATGGTTGTGAGTGTATGTTGTCCTGTGATGATTGTGTGTTAGAGCAGAGGGAGGCTTAGAGAGTTCCTCTTGAAGTGTATATACACGTACACACAGTGCAAGGATATAAGAGTATATTAAAACCTGGATTTGCAGGGTGGTACCACAGAGCTGTGTACTAGCTTTAAATGGCACCACTCTCTGACTCAACCAGAGCAGTAGTTGAAATATAATCCCTAGCATCATTTAGCACACTAGGAGAAAACCCTGGAAGGTTAGCGGTTGAGCGGCTCTGTCACATCGCCAGAATCTCTCTCTGGGGCATGTGCTGGGGTTTAGGGCTTACATTCTTCTGCATGAAAGAGCAACTGCATAAGAAACAGCCTGTGAGCCATGTGTCCTGAAATCGGACCCAGGTGTTGGTTATGTTCATAATCATAGAAAACAAGGGTGGGAATGGACCTCGGGAGGTCACATCTAGTCCAGCCCCCTGCTCAAAGCAGAACCAGCCCCAACTAGATCATTCCTGGAGCTTCTAAACAGAAGTTGTACCAGCAGCTAGCTGAAGGCTCCAGCAGGAGAGTCTTGGAGTATAATCTCATAAAGGTTTCCACTTGTGATACCCTGAACATTCCCTTTGTTACTGGCTGAATTGGGGGACAGGAAACAGACAGTCTCATTGAATGTCATCTGTTTACAGTCTAGCATTGGGACAGCAAGCGTGCTTAGCATTGTTTCATCCTGAAAGCTGATCTGAATCTTGCTCAGGTGTTTGAGCATAAAGTGTAAGCTGAGGCTCTTGATGGAAGAAGCCAGTAGAATGCAGCTCCGTTTCAGCCAGCAGAGAAAGTGGCAGTCCAATGAAGCCTGTGGAGGCTGAGGGTGGAATCAGCCGATTAACCTTATGTTGAGTACCTCGGAAGGCATTCTGGAAATGCATGTAATCTAATGTGCAGGTGCAACCAGAAGGTGGGTAGCTCGGCGTGCTGAGACTAGTCGTCTTCCTAGCTCATCTTAAAGATGAGGACAGCTGCATTTTTGTCCCACTGGGGAAATTTGAGCACACATAGTGCTGAATTGCTGCTCAGAGGCTATCACCCACTCTGACTCAGAAAGTTCAGGTATCTAGCATTCACAGGAGCTTGGCTGGGCTCTGCCTGTGTTGAATGTCCTGGCCAAGATGCCCCCCAGAACCATGAACAGCTTGTTAATTTCACTGTTTCTTCAGGTCAGCCAAGAACAAATCTTAAAGGGAACTTCCATAGTCTTGGTACAACCTGGCTGGGTGGTCCCTGGAGAAGTTCCACAAAGGGGATCTTGGTATTGTAGGAGTCCATCTTGCGGGGATTGTCCTGTGTGCACTGTTGAACTGTTAGAGAAGCCATGTCATCATAGCTATGAACTGTCAAGATCTCTTTGCTCAGAACAAGTGTGGCCCTACTGCGTGCTCCTACCTACAGGCTCCCCCAAGCAAGAAGCTTTGTGTTGTTGCAGGGTCCTGTCCCAGTGTAAGCAGTGAGGAAGTGCAGGCTGTGCGAAGGTGCACACCTCCCATGCAGTTCTTGTCTAACGGCTATTCTGGCTAAAACAGTGAAATGGCAAAAACTTGTGCCTGTAACTGAAGACACAGCTGATGTGGGATTAGACTGCTGCAACAGCTGCCCAGAGACATTCAGACATGCAGGCCTTGCATTTGTTAACATATGTTTCCAAACACGCAGATCCCAGGACAGGGTCTGATGCAAACAAACAGCAAAAGTAAGGCTGAAATGAATTGAGATGTCCAATATAATCTTAGTCCATGCATTCCTTGGACTCACGGTACATTCGGAGTGAAGGAATAGTCTTTGTAGTGGTCTTTGTTTCTTGCCTCTTCTGCCTCCTAAGTGGGTGTGGTGGTGAGGGTAGAATCTTAGTTACGTAAGAACCCACAACCTTGTTTGGTGCCTGAGATGCAGGTGCGCAATAGGCTTGTTCTGCTGAGATCACTGGAACAGAAACTCTAGAGTGTCTGACTACTGGAATGCAGCTGCACAAGTCTTGTGTGCTTCTAGAGCCCTGGCTTTTTCTGCTGCCAAAGCAACATTGTGTCTCAAAGCACCCATGGGGCTCCTTGCTGGTATTAAGCTCCTGCCCCACGTGGAACGCAGCAGCTCATCTAAGTGGTGAAGCATTGGCTTTGCTTGCAGCCGCAGTGGGAATGTCTGCAGAATGAAGGTACATCTTGCCCTTGGAACTCCCAACTTTGAATCTTTTCACCTCTGTTCTCAGCAGGTAGTTTACAGTGCTCTGTGCTTTGCGAGCGCTCTTTCCCTGGCAAGAACTTTCTTTCTCTAGGAGCTGAACACGCGCAGTGGATTTGTGGCCCTTCAAAAGATTGTTCCTCTTGTGCTTTTGGAGGTTCTTTTCCATCTACACCAGTTGCCGTAATCCCTGATAGCTACATGACTTTTGTCTCTCTTTTTCTTTCTTTTTTTTTTATTTTTTTTTTAAAAATCCTTCCATTCTAGAAGAGCTTAAAGCAGCGTCTGGGTAAAAGTAATATTCAAGCACGATTAGGCCGGCCAGCAGGACCCCTCGCTCGCGGTGCCATGGGAGGAAGAGGGCTGTCTATGGGTCAGAGAGGCTTGCCACGCGGAGCCATGCGTGGCGGACGTGGAGCAAGAGGATTGCTGAGAGGAGGCATCCCCCTCAGAGGTCAGTGTACTCCATGAGTCCAGGCATCCACTTTAGATGTTTGATGGCAAATGAAAGCATCCGTGGGCATTGTGGGGTCTGGGGTGGGGAATAATTCTGACAGCTCAGCAAAACCTTGCTGAGCTTGATGCCTGTATGCTGACTCATGCTTTCTTTTTATCATCCTCTTGCTGCATCAAAGGTGGGAGTTTACTTCGGGGAGGATGTGGGGTTTCCCCTAGAATGGGCCTGAGAAGAGGTGGCATCAGAGGTCGTGGTGGACCTGGGAGAGGAGGCCTGGGCAGAGGAGCTATGGGTCGTGGAGGAATTGGTGGCAGAGGTGAGTGCATGTCATTTTGGAAGGGATGAAGGGTAGAACAAGCTGGAGCATCTTTTTGTTTTAATTTGGGTTAAATTATAATATGCATAGGCAACTGTACACTTGAATTTCCATGAACATCTTCCCTTTGTACCCAGTGTGCAGCCTCATATTACATGCATCGCATTTCCATTTGCTAACATGTTAATAGTAGCAGTATTGATGCTGACGCATGAGATCCATGACAGTTTCATTGTTGCCTGCAGGGTTCTGAATAGCGGCGGTGAATTAGACCAGGGCCTCATTAGTGTCATACTGCCCATTGGGCAATGCTTCAAGTAGTGGCAATCACATTGGAGTAAAGTTGTAGATAATGAGTGTTGGAAGGGACCTTGGGAGGTCATATCTAGTCCAACCCCCTACTCAAAGCAGGTCCAGCCCTAACAACATCATCCCAGCCACAGTAGCTTATCTGCATGATCTGAAAAGAGCTCTCCTGTATCTGCCAGCTTTCCAGAGCATGAAGGAAACATAACCTTTGTAACTATTAAGTGTTAAAATCTCTCTGTGTTTAAATAAGAGGCTAAAAATTATTCATAAATGGGGGCTTTAGCCCTACACCCAACTAATAAGTTTCTTAGTTTCTGCTTATCTGGATTCTTCCCCCCCCCCCCCCCTTGGAACTGAATCTGACTGTTAAATACTAGGTGCTGTTCACAGTACAAAGTACTATATTAGGGAGGTCCCCAAATGAGAGAGGCTGGTACTGGAGAAATATAGGATGTGACTCATGGAATATCACTGAAAGTGAAACTCTAGTCATCTTTCAAGCAAGAATCAGTCAGTGGGACTTTGGATGTCTGTGGCTGGCCTTCTGCTACTTGGTGCTGTACCATGCAAGAACTTGAATTTCCTTGCTTTGTGAATTAACTATGAGACATGAACGTACTTACTTGCCTAGTCCCTCTGGGTTCTAATGCTGAAACTGGATGTGCACCGGGTGGGGTGACCTAGGCTAGGCAGCAGCTGATTGCAATCCTTTGTCACATCTCACTGTAAAAACCGGCGCCAATTCTCTCATGGTTGATGTACCTAGTAACTGGTCAGCGCTGTGAAAACCGACTAGCTGAATTACAGTGATACCATTACCATGCTGTAGCTACTGTTGGTTGGTTTCCTGTAGACAAGTTCTAGGCTTCTGTCTCATAAATCAGACTATCCTTCATACTGGTCAGTTGGTCTGACAGGCATACAGAAATCCATATTACCTGTTGGCTCTGTCAGAACGGCTCTTGTTGCAGATCTCACTAAGTCTAGATTTCTAGACATTGCAATAGCAGGGTCTTATGCAACAGTAGATGCCTCGGATGTCTGGTTTAAGGGGAAAACCACTGCTTCATGTCAATTGCCACTATATTAAACAATCAGCAAGATGCTCACAAATAGCAAGTCTGCAGTTTTTGCAGTGCAGTCATGTGGCAGCGTGCATTTAGAGTGGTAGACATGTGGCATTTGACAGTGCGTTACTGTGCCTTAGACAAACCTGGTGCACAGGGTGACAGCTGAGGAGCGTGAAAGTCTGGCAGGGAGACTTATCAGAGGCTTCATGGGGGTGAATTTGAAGGAGGAAAGGACCGCACTTCTGGCTCAGGAAGGAGGCAGCCACTCCCAGCCCAGGGGCAGCATGGGAGACAATGCCCCATGGACAAGTGCAGTGAGCTCAATGGGAGGAGGAGGGCAGGACATGGCCAAGTTGAAGGCGCACAAGCTAAACCAGCGGGATCCTTAATGTGCAGCCCTAGGTGTGATGCAGCACGTAACGGCCCTTGTCTCACTCAGGTCGTGGCATGGCAGGCCGGGGACGAGGGGGCTTTGGTGGCCGGGGCAGAGGCCGAGGCCGAGGAAGAGGATCCACACGCCCTGCGCTAACCAAGGAACAACTGGACAACCAATTAGATGCTTACATGTCTAAAACAAAAGGACACCTCGATGCCGAGCTGGATGCGTACATGGCTCAGACAGATCCAGAGACCAACGACTGAAGGGCCGTGTGAGAGACTTGTTGATGTGTATGTCACTACCCATAAGCTAAAAACGGAAACCCTGATTCCTGCTGGAAGGAGCTGCAGGAAGGGGGGCAGCCCTGTCCTACCAAGAGATCCAATTTTAGTGTGCTCCTTTTACATTTTGATACTCTGTGTTGTATGAAACCTTTTCCGGATTGTTTTTTTTTTTTATACATATATATATATATTTCTTTTCCGAAGTCCTCTGAACATGAATGTGACAGACCTGCAGTCATCCACTAGATCCAGTGCCGGGGATGCTCAGCCTGCCAGCCAACACTGGCGCGCACTGTTCCTCAGTGCTCGTGAGGGGGGAAGTGCTGTACATCTGCTGTGACGCATGCTTTTTAGGGGAAGTGCTCCCTGGTGCTGAACACAGCCTGCGGGATCCCATGGTTATGTGCCTCGTCCACTTGATGGTTCTGTTCAGGGTCAGAGTCAATCCTTTAGTGTGGCTCAAGTGGGAAACTTTCTTGACATTTGCCATTTTGTCTTTTTTTTTTTTAATTGCAATAACCCACCAAAGGTACCAAAATTCATCCTCCCCTGTGCCTGTCACACCAGTCCAATCCAGGCTTAAGGATGTAGTGCTCGTCTCTATTTCATGATTTCATTTTGTATCAAAACTCTTCTCCTATCCCCCCCTTCTTCCCCAGCTATCTACTTGATTGCTGGGGTTCTATTACTGACAGCACAGAGGACTGACTTTTCTTTTTCTTCCTTTTTTTTTAATTTGGGGTATAGTTTGAATTTCTCTTCTATCATGCCTGAAGGGACAGCACTACTGGTTTCTACATACCAGAACCTAGAAGAAGACCTAGTTTGTGTATTAAGGATGTTGAAGCAGGTCCATGCACGGCACCTATGAAAGGAAATCATGGTAGAACCATCTTGGAAACACTGGGTCCATAGTTGGTTGGAGTGACAAGTGTAACCAAAACTAAGCTTTCGGTCCAGGCTGACTCCAGCGCCTCCTGGGCACATTTTGAGAATGGGGTTGGTTTTAGATGTTGAGAACGGATTTGTTCTCCCCCTCCTCCCCCCGAAGTTTTAATTTACCACCATTGTGTGAACTGTTCCAGTTTCAATGGAATCTTGTATTTCTGGTTCGTTGTAACAATGGAGAAACAATGACAAAAATCCCCAGGGCTCTGGAGCTTTTCTTTTGAGCGCGTGAGAGGTAACCCTGAGGGGGTCAAGCACGGTTCATGCTGTCCTTGCCCCAGTACAGTTGAGTGCAGCTCCTGCTGTCTGCCTTTGGGGGTCAAGCTGCTTTCTAAGCAGTGGCAGCATCTTTCCCCTGCTGGAAACCACATTTATTACTAGAAGGTGGGTCCAGCCACCCCTTCCTCTGTGCTGGCTCCTGGGTTAGGCTGGAGCAGCCCTCAAACTGGGACTGGGGGGTGCTCCCAGTGCCTCTGGACTTTCTTGAGGCCCCAGCACTGTGGACCAAGTGCTGTGCTGCATATGGGGAGAAAGAAGGAAACTGCCTTCCAGTGCCATGGCTTTCCTGGCCCAGGCCCTGCCTGGGGCTGCTAGTGCTAGTGGAAAACGTGAGGCGCTCCCGCTGCTGTGCTCATCTCATCTCACGGCAGCTGAGAGCTGCATGGAACCAGCACAGGCTTCCCAGCGCCCGCCTGGAACTTGCCGTCCTGAACTTCCTCAGCTCTTTGCCACCCTTGGTCCCTTCTGCAGCTTGTAGTGACAGCGTTAAAGAGTTTCTCATTTACTTGTTAACTGCATGGCTTGAGTGAGCTTCAGAGGGTTTTCCAACCTCCCTGTTTTGAAGTTCAGGGGTTTGTGTCGGTGTTGGTGGTGTTGCTGGGCAGGAGCCCTAAACTCCA